ATAAAGGGACTGAAAAGTAGTGGACCAGGACAAAACCGTACTTCCCATTATCTGAATGTCCTGTTCTTTTGTGTGATGAGAGCTTCTTCAAATGAGACAAAAAAAAATTTTTATCTAATGGGTAGGACGGAATTTGACTACCCCCCCTTTATATATGCATTACAATTAAATGCACTCCTGTTTCTTGTTACATTTTTGTCTCTCTTTCTATCCTTATCTTTATTTATTTATATTTTCTAAAGTACTTTTATTCTTGTTGTGATTTTTTTTTATTTTTGCACCATGCACCAAAAAATTCCTTTTAAGTTGTTAAAAACTTATTTGCATAAAACCTTATTCTTTGATTCTATTTTTCTTGAAACCGAGCCCTACCCATATTTTATTATTTCAATTCATTATTTTTTTTTTTAAAAAATTTATTTTTTCAGTTTCAATTTCAATTTCAATTTATTCAATTTCAATTCAATTCTAGTGGGTGTATCTGCCTTGACCCAACCAATAAGAATTACTGTATCAAAGGATGTGCAGAAAACAAGAAAACCAGACTGGAACTTTCAGTTGTCTAGTTGTTTAATTAGTTTTGTCTTGAGGTTTCTGCCTTTTTTCTTAAAAGTTAAGTTTTTTCCTTTGCAGCCGTTGCCAAATTGCTTGCTCATGGTGGGGAACTGTTTGGGCCTCTTTGTAAATTAATTTGTTATAAGGATGTTTCAGTTCTAGACCTGCTCTTATTTTGAAAATTGTTTCCTGGAGATTTGTGGTAAATGAATGTTTTAGGTTTGGGAAGTTAATGTATACGTTTTTGGTTAGGGGATGTGTTTTTATTTTGCTTTTTGGTTTGTGTCAAAGCATTTATAAAGTCTGGAGGAACGTTCTTATGCTGTGGTTTCTTCCCTTTCCATTGCTGCGATGAGTTAAAGGAATTTGATTCATCAACTGGGTTTGTTAATTCTTTCAGAGAACTAGCAACTCTCCAGATTATGGTATGGAAGAATTTCCCCGACATGATAACTTCTGTTATAATTGGCGCTGTACAAATAAAACTGAATTGAATTGAATTAAATTGAATAGAATAGTCTGTCAAGTGCACATGGACAAGATTTTTCTGGAATTAGCAGGTTGGAAATTGGTCTGTAGTTGATTAAGGTAGTAAATATGAGATTACACACTTTCTGTGCACTCTTGTATAATTATTAAAACACATTATATTGTGATCTAGTCTGTATAACAATTAGAAGTTGAATTTTTGTGTCATGGTAACACCTCTACACAGGATTCTCACCATTTCCCAAGCAGCAGGGTCGTGTTTGAAGAGTGAGTGTGTGAGCTCCACTGAAACTCTCTTCCTGTAGTCTGAACTCTTGTCCTCCGAAATTCGGAACAGCACTGCTGCAGCATAGGTGGCTGCAAGTAGATGGGAACATCCTTTAAACAGACTCAAGGAAACACCCAAAACATGAATAGTCAGTTCCTACAAGAATCTGCAATTATGTGATCACAAGAATGAACACAAATTTAACTAATGTAATGGATAAGATCAGTGACTGCTTAAACAACTAAGAGTGTCAGTCAAAGCTCAAACAATGGAAATGTGACATTTCTGTTTGTTTTATGTATTGATTTGCGTAAGATTACTGTCTCCTCATCACTACTCACAAATCTGATGTTTTTATCTGCCGCTACTTTTATGCTTTATGAATTTCATGATTTGTGTGCTTCCACTGAACTGTCACATTTTTGTTTTTACTGATACATCAACTTTTCAAATTTAAAGTGAATTTTTAGTTATTTGGCAAAAGCAAATGTGAATGAATGCTTGTTTCTATCCATAATATAGGCACTAGGTGGAACCAGTTCTGCAGTTGAAGAGCACACAATAACATAAAGTAATTAAAAGAGCGCTATTTGAACTTTAAACCTGGAAAAACAATATAGAAAACAGGATATCAATATGGAATTTTTGTTAGTTTCATGTATGAGGAGTTGTGTGAGGAAGATTCCATCAGATCTGTGTGGAGTGATAATGGATTTATTATAGAGCAATGGGAGCGATGAGGAGACTGTTGGAGCAGAAACAGCTCCAACGGCTCATCGCTGTGAGTTAAATGTTCACTATGTCAGATATGATGTTGAAAAATAGTTTCCATATCCCATTAAGAGCATTAATGCAAAAACTACCTCAAGCGAACGTAAAAACCTTTTTGCTTGTTTCCATAAACCTTTTTTCTCATGCAAAATGCTAATCAAAGTACATTGATGGAAACACATTTCAGAAAAGGATAAGCCCATTAGTTCACAGTACTAACATACATTGGTCTGAAACATTACATATTGGGTAGTATCTAGCTGGTAGTTGAGATGTGCCTCTGAAGCAGAAAAGGAGAGGGAGGCGTACCGATTCCCTCGTTATTGGAGTGCAGCAGCTCCATGAGGGGCGCCGACGCTCCCTCTGCATCGATTAGCTCTGCAGACTGCTTGTCCAGGGCCAGCTCGCACAGGACACCCGCTGATACTCGCTTCACGTTCTCCACATATGAGTACAGCAGCTAGACACACACACACACACATAACCCTGTGATCTTAACAGCACAGGTTAGTTGCGGAAAAAACTTTGGTACCACCTGTCTTGGTCTGCGCCTCTTCATTTTCAGGTCTGTATACTGGGATAATAAGGCTGTACAATATGATGTACATGTCGGTAATTTCATATCCAGATAATGATAAATATCACGATAAAGCACATTATCTGTAAATTCAATCAATAGTTTGTATAAAATGATCATGTGAAGGTACATTTCTTTTTACTTTATACTAGACAAACAAAAGGTACTTTTTTACTTTTTTGAGCACTCAACTGTACTTTTGTGGCTCTCATCTGTAAACTCTCTCCATGGTCTTTGACATGATTCCTGTGTAGGTGGTAAGAGAGGTTAGTACGCTTTGAGTCTGAATCTCTCTGTTACTTTACATTATTATAAATAATAATAATAAATAAATTGTCTTATTTCCCTTCTCCTTGGACTTGCGATTCAATTCATATATTACTATTACTATAATCACTATGTCTATTTCTAACAAATTATTTTTAAAATTAATTTAAATGAATGTGTTAAATTTGACAGCATTTGACACCAAATTGGGGTCACCTGTCAAAACAAAATACAAACTGATGTTTTGAAGATTTATAAATTGTAAACCATCTGTTTAAAATCAGAGAAAACTTGGGCGCCTGGTTAGCTCAGTTGGAAGAGCTGGTGTCCCATGTACCGAGGCTGAGTCCTTGCTGCAGCGGCCCAGGGTTTGAATCTGACCTGTGGCCCTTTGCTGCGTGTCATCCCCTCTCTCTGTCCCCCTTTCCTGTCTATCTCTATCATAAAGGCAATACAAGCCA